TGCTGACCGTGGTTCCTGCATAGAAAACTAACGTTAAGATTTGCATGTAAAGGCGCTATTTTTTAATTAGCAAAATAACTATTCTTTATGTCAGTAAATCTTTTTAATGATTCTAATTACCCGTTACAGTTACAATGATTGTAAATCTAGAAAAGTAGGGGTAATATGGACCTCAGGAAGTGATCTAGCTCTAAACCATCCTAGACAATTGTTTGTCTAAACTACTCTTAAAAACTACCAAGGCTGGAGAATCCACAGGCTCTCTAGGTGATTTGTTTTACTGCTTACCCATACTTGTAGTGAGAAAGTTCTTCCTAATATCCAACCTAAATTTCCCTTGCTGCAGCTTATAACCTTTGCTTCTTGTCCTGTCCCCTGTGCCCACCATCCTCCTTTTAAACTTCACATACTAGAAGACTGTTATCAAGCTCTCTCCACTCACACTCACACTCTTATCGTCTCCAGACTGAATGATGACAGTTCTTCCAACCTCTCCTCATAAGTCATGTTTTCCAGACCAGACCTCTAATGATTTTTGTTGTCCTCTGCTGAACTCTTATTTGTCCACATCTTTCTTGAAGTGTAGTGCCCAAAATTGGACATAGCACTGCAGGTGAGGCCTCAGCATTGCTGAATAGCATGGAAGAATCAATTCCCTTGACTTGCAAATGGTGCTGCTATTAATACTATGCTATTAACTCCAAGAAGGATGTGGACGGATTGGAAAGAGTCCAGCGAAGAGCAACCACAATTATTGGAAGTCTGGAAAACATGACTTATGAGAAGAGGCTGAAAGAGCTAGGGTTATTTAGTCTGGAGAAGAGAAGACCAAAATGAGAGTTGGGATACCTGAAGGGTGATTTGTAGAGAGGGTAGAGATGAGATTTTCTCTGTGGCTGATTGACCTCAAGCTGCAGCAGAGAAAAGTTAAGTAGGAGATTTGGAGGAATTTTCTGACTACAAGGGTGGGCAAGCATTGCACCAGGCTGCCTAGAGAATCGGGGAATCTGCACTTGGAAACTGTGGGGGAGAGTATGGAGGAGGCCATGTGGTGTGTGGTTCAGAGGGAGCATGGGGGGAATGGACAAAGTGTATGGGGAGGGGAGCACATGAGATCTGCATGGTGCCTGGGAGAGGAGTGTGGAGAGAACACGTGGGGTGGGTTGTGGGGGATGTGGGGAGACTGCATGGGTGAGGGGGTCAATAAAGGAAGATTACATGGTGTTGGGGTGAGCATGGGGTAGATTGCACAGCACGGCCTGTGCAGGTTGTGCGGTGAGGAGTGTGAGCTCAGGAAGGATCGTGTGGTGCAGCTGAGGGGGTGGGGAGGAAGCATGATGGGGGCTGTGTAGAGGCAGGGAAGCTGCTGCAGCTCTAGCTCTGGCCCTGACCGGAAGCTTCTGTCCTTTTGCTGTGTACCTGTAAACCTTTTCTATCCCTTTTACTTTGTCTCCTTCTTGCTCCTTGAAAGTAGGGACAAATGACACTGTTTATTCTACTTCAGAGTAAAAGTGTAAGGGACATGGGGCATAGAGCTTTCCACAGATGTAACTCGCTCCACTCTGGGGGAAAGGTGCTTCTTGGAAAGTGAGGAAGTTGATGGACTTGACCCCAGTGTAGCTTCTAGTCAGTAGCTCTAGTCAGCTCCATCCTGTGGAGCCCTTTGCTCAGTGCCAACTATGGCAACTATTTCTGGCTCCTCTGCCCCCTAATGGTGATGGGCTTTAATGGCACCGACTGGAGACCGCTGTCTTCAGAGAACTGGTCATGTGCCTGCTCTGGATACTTGTGTAATTTTAGTAGGGAGTAAAATCTAAGGTGAATTGACCCAGGGTTAGTGTCATGTGTCCCCATTCTGGATCTCTGATATGGTAAGAACATAGGGAACAGGAGGAAAATAAATGGGAGTGTGGGGCCATTACTCAACAACTCAAGAGACCTGGTTACTGGCACTCAGGAGAAAGCTGAACACCTGAATGACTGCCTCGCTTCGGTCTTTCACTGGACCTAGGGGAAAACCACGCCAGATAGCAAAGCTGAACACCTGAATGACTGCCTCGCTTCAGTCTTTCATCGGACCTAGGGGAAAACCACGCCAGATAGCGTAGAGGATGAGCACGGTACAAGCTGAACACCTGAATGACTGCCTCGCTTCAGTCTTTCATCGGACCTAGGGGAAAACCACGCCAGATAGCGTAGAGGATGAGCACGGTACGAATAATCACCTTCCTACTATTGCCATAGAATTGATGTATGACCAATTAATAACATTAGACTTATACAAGTCAGCAGGACTGGATGTTCTTCATCCGAGAATACTGAAGGAGCTGGCCGAAGTCATTGTGGAGCCCCTAGAAAAACTCCTTTCATAACTCATGGCACTCTGGAGAAGTCCCTGAGGACTAGAAAAGGGCCAATGTTGTGCCCATCCACAAGAAGGGCAGGAGGGAGGACCCGGGTAACTATAGGCCAGTCAGCCGAACTTCCATCCTAGGGAAAATCATACAAAAGTTCATCAAGGACTTTGCAATAAGCTTGCAGAAGGTAAGATCTGAATGACAGCCAGCATGGCTTTGTTGCGGGCAGGCCTTGCCTTACCAACCTCATCTGCTTCTATGACCAGGTAACTCGCCATCTGGACATGAGAAAGCAGGTTGACATTATATACCTAGACTTCCAAAAGGCCTTTGATCTAGTATTCCACAATGTCTTTGTGAGAAAATTGGAGGATTGTGGGCTTAACTCTGAGACAGTCAAGTGGATGAGAAACTGGCTGCAGGATAGGACCCAGAGAATTGTAGTGAATGGATTTGTGTCATTCTGGTGAGAAGTGGGCAGCGGTATCCCGCAGGTGTCAGTGCTTGGTCCAGTACTTTTCAACATCTTTATTACCAATTTGGATGTGGGGTTGAAGAGTTCACTGGCCAAGTTTGCGGCTGACACCCAAGTTGTGGGGTAGCACGGTGGTGCTTGAAGATAGGCTACAGGTGGACCTAGACCAGCTAGCAAGTTGGGTGGATGGGAACCTGCTGAAGTTCAACGTTGAGAAATGTAAAGTGCTCCATCTCGGGACGAGCAACCCCCAACACACCTGCAGCCTTGGCGGCACCAAATTGACCAGCACCACCAATGAAAGGGACCTGGGGGTAATAATAGATCACAGTATGAATATGAGCCAGCAGTGCGATGCTGTAGCCAGTAGGGCAAATAATACTGTGGCATGCATCAATCGATGCATCTCCAGCAAAACCAAGGAGGTGATTCTTCTGCTTTACTCAGCACTGGTGAGACCGCAGCTAGAGTACTGTGTCCAGTTCTGGGCACCACACTTTAACAAGGATGTGGATAAGCTTGAGAGAGTCAAAGAAGAGCTACTCATATGATCAGAGTCTGAAAAGGCAAGCCATATGAGGAAAGGCTGAGGGATCTGGGACTCTTCTGCCTGAGGAAAAGAAGGCTGAGAGGGGACCTGGTAGCAGATTATCGCTACACTACAGGAGTACATCAAGTGCTTAGTGAACAACTGTTCACCAGGGCACCCGAGGGGAAAACCAGGAGTAATGGCCACAAACTCCTGGACGATCGATTCAGGCTCAACGTTAGGAAAAACTTCTTTACAATCAGGGTGTCCAGACTGTGGAATAAGCTCCCTCCAGAGGTGGTGCAATCGCCTACCCTGGAAATCTTCAAGAGGAGACTAGACATTCTCTTTACTGGGGTCACCTGACCCCCAGTTGTCTTTCCTGCTTGGTGCAGGGGGCTGGACCCAATGATCTTCCGAGGTCCCTTCTGGCCTTACAATCTATGAATCTATGAACCTATGAACTTTTCTTTTATCAGCATTTTAAAAATTCTTTAACATATTAAGAAAAAACTATGTAATTTCTTCCACTTCTCAAGTGTCAGATTGTAAATCTATTCTCTAAATAGATCTACAATGTTCCTTACTAAGATCAGTTTATCATTTGGAAAATAGCTAAGCATTCATACCTAGAGAAGGCAAATACTTGGGGTAGGACTATTTGCATTCTTGAACCTTGAAAGATTTTTGTAGTCTGTCTAGATCGAACTCAACAAATAGGTCTTTCATTAGGCTATGGTAAACACGCCAAAGACTCAGCATTTTTGTTTCATATGCATCCTGTAAAATTCCTTTTTAAGTAGGCCTGCCAAATCTACAGAAGGGTAAAAGTGGACAAACAAATGCCTTCGAGTGAAAGTTCTGAAACATGGTATCCTGATTCTGGCTTCACTACTCCATTGTTTTGCATTATTTTATCCTCCTTAGAGATACAACTTTCCATAACAATTTTAACTATCCTTCAACTCTCCAGTGTAGGGACAGCTTGTGGTAGGTATATATATAATTTAATATCTATGAAATCAAACTCATAATATATTGTGTACTACACTCTTTGTTATGGTTGAAGTTCTTTGATAGCAGGAAGTAATTGATCTCCATTCAGCAAGCTACTTAAGTGTGTGCCTAAATTTAAGTGCAAAAATAGCCCCATTGAAATCTTTTATGGGGATGAGACTTTTAAAAAAAACGTTAAAGGTAGAGGCATAGTTCTAATAAATCTTAAAAATAAATCTGAATCTAATAAAAAAGCCCCCCCCCCCCCCAAAAAAAACCAAAACAAAACAAAACAAAAAAACATGTTTTTGCTTAAAACTTATCAGCTTTCATGGTCTGTGCGGTCATAACCTTATAAACAAAATTCATTATGTCTTTTTTCCCATCCAGTTACTGGGGGCTTGTTCACTCTTTTCAATCAATTTATGTGTTCTAAATTTGGTTTTATTAAACCAGATGAACACCTTGCTGGGATCGTTTGACCCCAGTACTCTTTCCTGCCATGGCAGGGGGTCGGACTTGATGATCTGCTCAGGTCCCTTTCGACCCTACCAACTATGAAACTATGAAATAGCTGTGCTGTTTAGTGAATGTCCAGTTTTATCAGAAAATTAAACAAAATCCGGTTTGTGGCATAACACAGTTATTAAGGTAGAGCGTTTGATATTTGTTCACTGGTACTAAACCTAAAATTTCTGGTTTGCAACCAAAGAACCTGCATTTCAGAAATCATAAAAATGTGATCACATTTTTTATTTAAAGGATGAAAGAATCATGACTGTTATGAAATGTACAGCTGTGCACCAATTAGACTAGAATGAATGTGATTGATACCTTGTAAAGAGTTCATGAATGCAGTTGAGTGCCAAATAAATGTTCTTCAGTCAGTTGTATCTCCTGTCAACTGTACGTTGGTACATGTTTCTGCAATTCCATTTCTTTCTTTTGTTTGAAGTTCTATAAAGAGTTCTTCTCTTTTTGATTAGGAAATCTCTTGCTATATATGGGAACTAAAAAAATACATTTCTAAATTCTCTTATGTTAACAAAGCCCTTTAAAACTCATTCTCTATGGACTGTGGTAATTTTTTTAACCAATTCAGAGGTTGTGGTGGTGGGGAGTCACATCTCAGGAATGTGCATCTGCTACAACTATTACCTTGGCATGCTCCAGCAGCTATATAAGTAAGGAAAATCTCTTTAAATGAAACCCTGGGTGAAGCAGGACTGAAGTAGCAATAGGTTTGCTACATTTGTATTGCTACAGGTGTGCTTAGAAGTTAGTTATGGTTGTTTGGGAGTGATGTAGCCGTGGTGGTCCAGGATTGATGCTAGAAGCTAGGGGTTTTGTGGATGGTGTCTTTACTGCATGGTTGGGATTAAGTTAGGCAAGCTTTTGAATGCAAGGCAGTCTTCATAAGGTCTTACCAGGTTAGTTACATCATACAAGTTACCAATGAATTACGTTTTCAATACCACACTGGGTTTAGTCCCAATTAGTTCAGTTTGGTGTTCTTCTGTATTGTGAGTGAATCTGTACCTTTTGGTTGTAGGTAGCTAATTATTAAAATAAACAGATAACTGCATGTAAACTGCTGCTCTGTATTAAAGATATTGTTTAGATACAGAGTATCAGCATTAAAGCTCCTCAGCTTGATTCTGTACCCTTGTTGTACAGTATTCTACATCATTAGCTACCTTTTATAGTTCCCTTTCAGTCTTAGGAATATGAAAACTCATTCAGCCACCCTTTATCCATCTGTTTGCTCTTTTATTGCTTCTTTTTGTGGGGGGTTTATAGTGCCCTTCAGAGTTATGCACTAGTTTTATACTTTAGTAGAATTTTGCATGATTTAAAGCAAGGCTGTTGCACATTAAACAGGCTGCATCAGGATGAGCAGTGCATCCCCTGGCTCACGTGCCATGCAGGTGCCTCTCTCCTACACCATGCTGTACATGTGCCCCCCATCCTCCTACACTGCATTCAGCTCAGTCCCCTCTCAGCTCCCTGGCCCTCCCCCTAAGCTCCCAGGGCCACAGGTTGGGTTACGTAAAAAATACTGGGTACTGCACCACTCCTTAGGGCAGGGGTGAGCAAAATGCGGCCCGACAGGCCTTTCTATCTGGCCCCCAGGGCCCCTAAAAAACGTAGAAAATTAATATTTGTCTGCCCCTGGCTGCCTGTCATGCAGCTCTTGGGGAGAGCAAATTAACCTCTCGGGGGCTGCAAATTAACAGCCTGGAGGCTACAAATTAACCCCCTTGGGCTGCAGGTGGCCTGTGGGCTGCCACTTGGACAGCCCTGATTTATGGAAAGGAAAGACTTTTGAGGTCTCTGTATCTTCCGTGTAAGAGAGGTCCCAAGCCTGCTTTTCATTCAGAAGGTTGTCTGTCTATCCCAACCATGCAGTTAGTCAGGTAGAAGATATCACCCACAACGGTCCTTGCTTCTTACATATAACTATTTTTAACAGTGAATGATGTAATGCTGTGCATGTACTTTATTTGGCTATGTGAAAGAAGACTGGTTTTTACAGCTGTTATCTGGATTTTTATGACAGGGCCGTTGTTCGTTACAATGACCAAAACCCATGTGATAGCAGCTTCAAAAGAAGCTTTTTACATCTGGCAATATCGTGTGGCCAAGAAGCTCACAGCAATGGAAATTAATCAGGTGGCTCGGACTAGAAAAGAAGGCAGAGAAAGGTTTGTCTTCAGGCTTTGTCGTTTTCTTTTGCTTTATCCAGTATGACAGTGAATTCACCTCTCTCTTCATAGTTGCTTGAAATAGCTGCTCTGCCACCTTTCATTTTTATTAATTTAAATTGGCTTATTCACCAGTCAGTCTGAATATACATCCAGGAATAGCTCTTTTATGATAAAATGTGTTATTATCTAAACCTTTCTTAGAATGGAGCTTGTTCACACACTCCTACCTCGGTGACTTCCTGTTTAGTGTTTCCCTTTGGTAGCTTCCTTTTTTTCTTGCCACTGGCAGAGCTTCATATTTTTCCCACTTTTTTCACCTCTGTAAACTCTGTCCTTAGACACATTCTTCCATTTCTGTGACTTTTAACTTCTGTTGCCATTTTGATGACTCCTAGGGCTACTTTTCCAACCCTGACTTGTCCCTTCTAAGCAGGCCCATGTCTCAGACTATCTTTGACCTCTTAAGTTGTATATGGCTTGCTACCATAAAATTATAGACTTATAGAAAAATGTGGCTGAAAGAGACTTTGGAAGGTCATCTAATCACCCCTGTGCTCAAGGCAGGATCGTCCTTGATTAAATCATCCCACTCAGCTCAGACCCAACAAAAGATGCACTCGCTGCATCTTTCCTCCAAAAGGCTTTCTTCTCACTCTTGTCTGTAGCAGTGGCAGTGATACCATTACTCTCCAAAGAGTTGTGATCTGAGCATGATTTTATTTGTAACTACTATGTCCGCTTTCCACACAGGTGCTATCTCAAAATCCACCAGGTTCTCTCTGTTCCCACATTTCCTTGTTCATGTGTGGCACTGTGTCTGATTACTGTATTTACTTAAATACCACACTTGCCTTTTCCCCAAAAATTAGCCTTCCAAAACTGAGAAGTGGGGTGTATGTCTTACGTGGGGAAGCTGATTTTATATAATTTACTTGGGCGCTAATACATGTGCAGCGAGGCTGTTGGAGCAGACTCGATCAATTGAGTCTGCTGGAGTGTGGTGATTATTATGATCCAACAGACTCCAGCATCATGTGTTTTAGTGTCCTTGCACTGAAAAATGGTGGCGGGGGCACTTTAACTAAAGCTTGTTCAACGAGCTTTAGTTAAAGCACCGCCGCTGCCATTTTTCAGCACAGAGATGATGATACACGTGATGGTCTTTAATTAGAGCAGCTCCAAAAGCCACTCTAATTAAAGTGTCCCCTCCCCACTCCTGGAGCACGTGTATAAATACCTCCTGATTCCTGCTAATTGTTCTTAACTCCTCTCGCCTTCTTAATGGTCTTGACAGTCTGCAAATCAAGCTAGTTCTTCCTTTGCAATTTTGCTGTCTTCTAGCTACTCTTCTTCTATTTCACAGCCCCGAATACTGATTTTAGCTCTTTTCAAAATCCTAGTTCTGCCTATGGTGTCCAGTCTTTAATAGCACAGTTTCAGCTTTTGGCTCAGCAGCCAAGAACTGTTGATATGTCATATAGGAAAGGGTTAAAACTAGTTTTTCCCCGAACAGGGAAGGGAGGGTGAGTGAGCTGAAGGTTAGGCTGTGTCCCTGCTCTATGCAGCCATAACTGTGGAAAAATGTTTTCTTCTTCATTTATGGCTTTCCAAAAATGACCTGTGTGTCTTATTTGTGGCATGTGGAAACATATGGTATTTATTTGTGTTATCATAGTACCTAGTGCTTCTGCTCATGGCTCATGATTCCTTTGGGCTAGGCGTTGTACAAAAACAGAACACATGGATTGTTTTTGCCCCAAAGACCAGTTCAAGGTTATGTCTACAGTGCTATGGAAACTGTCCCTTCCCTGCTGCACATGCAGCTCTGCCAGTAGATGGAATTTTCCTGCCACCACCAGAGCTACACATGGCAGACAAGTGAAAAAATGCACTCTGTTGCCATAAAACCACATTTTGCTGGCAGGGTGATGTCCATACTTGGAGTTTTGCCAGCAGAGCAACATTGGACTTTTGGGGGTAATCCTAGCCAATATATTATGGCTGGCAGAGCTAAGATGCAACAGATGAAGATGGGATCACCAGGAAACAAGCCAGTATTGGTCTTCATGATAGGTCTCATGATTGCCAAGGGGGAGAGTTGTGAGGATGCTTCTGAAAGGAGATAATGCCCTAGTTTTGTGAATAAAGCATGAAGGCGATGAAAAGGAAACATGGGTGATGGATGCCAATGTCCAAGTGTGAATCAATCTCTTGCTACTGGATGAGGGAGGATAGGAATGTAGGAATGGCTTGTGAAGGGTATTGAAAGTGAAGACTAGTACCTAGCTCGTTTTTGATACAGCGAAGACTAACTTTACTTTGAACTGATTTAAAAGAACCCTTTCAAAGCTTAAAAACAGTCTTTCAGAAATTTGGCCAAATTGAAGTAATTTTTTTCAGACTTGAAGCTCTGTTTTTCACTTAAATTGATCCCTTTTACTTTTGGCAAACTTCAGGATCTATCACATTGATGACACTCCTTCAGGAGCAGCAGATGGGGTACTTGATTACAGCAAAGCCATTCATGTAAGTACCACTTTTAACCAGTATGTTATACTGTCATTGTTTGCTTGAAAGAGAGCCTAGTGCTTCTCTGTTGTATTTGATGTGTATTAGAATAAACCAAGCTATTAAATAGCAATTTTTTCATTCCCATTTCATATATGTTGTTTTGCCCTCTCCTGTTCTTACACACCATTTTTCTTATACATGCATAGAGTTTTGTAAACGAGTGCATTATCCTTTTCACAGAACTTCAGAGTTGGATACTTACCTCCAGGAGGGAGATATAGTTTGAACAGGATCCCTGTACAGGGAACTGGGGAGAGGTAGGCACCTCCAAAAGGGGGTCAAAAAGTCTGGAGAAATCTAGAGGTAACCAATAGAAAATGCCAAGAACAGAAGTATGTCTGAACTCCTGCTACTCTTAGGAGCTTAGATGCCTGACTCAGGGCTGCGCATTAGGACCTTCCATTTACTTAGAACCATTCATTCTGGATCCTGCTTTTGAGGTATGATGCCTAACTGACTCATGGTGGTGCTGGTGCCTCTTGCGTGGTAGCTTAGTGGATAAAGGACTTGCTTAGGCTGTAGGAGAGCCTGGTCCTTCAGTCCCTCAAGTCAAGACTATGTATTCATTTTATAAGTTTCATGGTTAAAAAAGAGAGAACCGTAAGAATAGGGACCAGATCTCAGGCTTCACCTCATCTGTTGAGTGCCCTAATTACAAGGTCACACAGACAGGCTCCCTCTTGTTTGTTGGTCTCATGGCTCTTCCATTGGCTGCTCAGTGGTCCCACTTCAATAGGAGGGGTTGAAGGGTGCGTCCATGCTGGTGACTGGTGGATGAGGATACACTCCTGAAAAGTGGGAGATTCGGGTTTGAATTTCCCCAGGCAGTGTGAGGCTAGAAGCCAGGTCTCCCACTTCCTGTGCTCTAGCCTGGTTCTTATGCAGAGATTTGGGCTGGTGTTAATGCCATCAGGAAAAAATTAGCCATGCTTGGAGCTCTGCCATGGACCTACCTAGCACCAACCTGGATTGCCATTGAACTTAGGTGGAGTTGTGGGTCTCAGTGATCAAACTGGATTGCCTCTAAGGCTTTGAACAGACATGCATTTGTAGTGCTACAAGTACCTCAGAGCAATGAACATAGCTAGGAGGGAAGTGGGGGTAGGACAGGACATATGTTCACAGTCTCCTGGCTGGAGCACTACTAAGTTGTCACAATGGCATGCTTTCCAGCCAGGAGGTTGCTCCTTTTGCCCCAACCCAAGGGGAGCCTGTCAATGAGTCTGATCACTCACCTCTGGCCCTCTGCCCTGCTGGGGAGGGGGCCCACCAGGCAGGCTATCAGTGACCAGTGGGAGAGCGTGCTGCTTCACCAGGCTTCAGAATAACAGCAGTATCCCTGACAGCTGGGCATAGCACCCATGGTTCTTGCAGCGGTGGTGATGCCAGCAGCAGCAATCCTTGCCACCTCCCTCCCTGCCATGGTCCCTTTTTGACAGCACTGCTGTTCCCAGTCAGCTTGTCCTGCTCCATTACCACTTGTCTCCTTTCCCTGTATTATGGGATGCCTGGGGACTAAGAGACTTCCAGTAGTGTTGTTATATTTGGTTTACAAAACAGTGCTGTTTCAGTCAGGAACATTTTTGTAGTATTTCTGCCATTTTTAACATGCTGGGGCATATTCATCTGTCCCCTTGATTTCTGTAGTGCTTCAAAGGCATTTGTAATAATGCAGATATAACATCTGCCCACAGTCTAAGTGTTCACAGAAGTTCAAATCTAGGCAACATGTGAACTTTTTGATCCAGAGTGGAGGTGCCATCTGAATTTAGTCACATATTGAGTTTTGTGGCTTGTTTCACTTTTTGGAATTTAGGGACTTCAGTTACACATGAGTGCCCATTGAGGTGCCTACAGAACTAATCTGGATCTGATCCACAGCCTCCATACGAGAGAAATTTAATAAAAGCAAGAAAACAAGGTGTGAGTGACCATTATTTTTAAAAATAGTTGATAGCCCCTCTTATTGCTCTATTGAGATAAAAACAAGATTAAACTGAACCAGGAGCTCTTTCTTATCTCAGCCTTCCATGCTCACTTTTGTTACTTTGATATTCTGTTGAAAACTAGGGCCTTGTAGACTTTCCATGTCTTCATGTTGTTTTACTTGTCCTATGAAGCATCTCTCACATTTGCATTAAGCAGTCTGCTTACTGTTTCCCACTGTTTGATAGCCTCTTCCCTGGTCAGCAGAAATCTGTAGATGCTTGTGGTGCCTAAGGTTTGTGTATTTATTGTTGACATATTTTATTTCTCTATTGTCAATCCCCAACTGTTGGAGGAGTTAACCTCTGGCTTAGAGTGCAAGAGGCAGAAGGCATAAAAGGGAGCAAGTGAAGTCCAATGCGCAGATATATTTGAAATTAACAATAACAAACTAACAGATTTATCTTTATTGAAGCACATTTCAAAAACTTTAAACTAATGACAGCATCTCTGTGATTGAACCTTTCCTCAGTGGCAAAAATGCAAGCCCATTCCAAGTTTTGCATCTCCTGGTTTGAAGTTTACTGTATTTATGGTCTGCTACTATTTTTGGACACTAAACTGCTTTTAAAACTAGTGTTCTGATAGTGCGTATATGATTTTAGGGAACAAGGGATCCAATTTCAGCAATAACAGCATCTGATAAAACACTCATTGTGGTAAGTAACAGTTTATGTAATTTGTGATTGTCTGCTCATGGGCAGTGTAAGTCAAAAGAACTTTCCATGTGGATTTACGTAACTGTTCACATTTGAAGGAGTGAAAGGCTTGAATCCTTGTTGCAGGGGTTGGCTACGTAAGGCCTGCGGCCAGGATCCAGGCCTTGAAGATATTTGAATCAACATGGGAAACTGGTGCTGTGCTGCTGTCCCCCCTACAGCACTGTCCTCCACTGACGAGCCTGCTACTCTGCAGCATCTGTGCTTCCTTCACTGCTGAGAAGTCAGATTAGTGCAGGCAGCTGGCTGCTGGGAAGAGGTAGAGACTTCCATCCTGCAGCCACAGCTAGGTCTATGGCCGTCTCGGGCAAAAAACCCTTGCCTTATTGCACTAGTGTAGAAGGCAGGGTATTTGCATCTTACAGACTAACCAAAGTAGGTCGGTCGGTCTGTCTGTCTGTCTCTCTCCAAAGTAGAGGTGTATATACTTTGGTTAATTTATAACAGGGGTGTCCGACATGTAGCCCATGGGGGCAGATCCTGCCCATGAACCATCTAATCTGGTCTGTGGGATTAGTTCTGGCCCCACATGCTGCATGGGGCATGTGGGCTGGACCTGGGCACATACTGCAAGCAGCATAGGGTTGATCTGGGCACTGTATGCAGCCCATGCCCCTTTACCCCCATCAGGGTTGGCTGGTTCAGCATATGGCACAAGGGGCTCGACGGCCTGTTCATGTTGCATGTGGCACAGGGGGCCAGCACGGGTAATGCACTCCATATGGTGCCCCACCGACAGCTCTACGTGCTGGCTTTGGGTCCAGCAGGGTGCTACATGGAGCATGCACCCCATGCTGGCTCCCTTGTGCTACATGCAGCGTGCACACCATGAACCAGCCCTGGGGCTTGTGTGTAATGCCCCGGGGGCTGGCATGGCATGTGTGCCGCCTGTGGCACATGGGCTGAACCCAGCACTGCATGTATCACAGGGTCTAGGGTGTCAGTAGTGTGCAGTTTCAGACTTAACTCCCATGCAGCCTGTAATACTAGCACCAGCCCACATGTTGTAGGCAGCATACTCTCTGTGCCAGCCCCAGGGGCTGGTGAATGTGGTGAATGGCAAGGAGTCTGTGCTGGTCTGACCTGCATACTGGCTCAGGTGGGGCCAGATGAGTTTGCCCCTGGTTTGTAAGGTGCAAATCTACCCTGCCTTCTACTTGACTTCAGGTTAATATGGCTAACTACATCTTAGTTACTGCCATAATCACATTGATATATATTGAAACAATGTATAAAGAGACCAAGATCTATCTTCAACTTTATAAACCTAGTTTTTGCATCAGAAATGAAAGTATTACTTGGCTCTCATCTTAGAATATTTACCAACACTTGATGCATTCTGAGTACAGTTAAACACATGCAAATATGAACTGACCCTGAACACACTTTTTTCATATGCATGATCTATTTTATTCTGTGTTTTATGCTTTACAGTAAGCATGTCTTCTCCCTCGGGTACCAGCTGTGCTTCAGGTTTGTTTGTACAGGGATGATGTTCTCAGCAGATTTATTGCCAAAAGCAATGAGTGTCTGCATTGCAATAAAATTGTGTATATAATATTATGGTTTATTTACACATTCAGAGGCTGGACAATGTGGTAATGCTTTGGCTTTTTGAAAAAAAAAAAAGCCTTTTAAGTTCAGAGTTACCATTTTATTTAGTGTCGGAAGGTATAACATAAATAAAACAGTGTCTTTAAGGAGTATGGCTTCATTCACCGTAGTTGCTAGGTGTTTTTCAGGAGTATGGCTTCATTCACCGTAGTTGCTAGGGGTTTTTGTTTTATTATGACAATCAGCCTTTTGTAATAAGGAGCCTGTCATATTATGCTCTCCATTTCTTGTCATCCATTTTACAAGAAGTATGTAAAGGACAGTCCAGTATTATACTGCTTGCCAAAGTAAATGGATTAAGATAAAGGTGGGGGAGAAGATCATAGGCTAGTGGGGCTATTATTTGTTGTGTTGTTTCTTGCACTTGTGAGTTGGTTGTAAAATGGATCTCAGGATGTCTCTTCCAAACCTTAAATCCTTGGAGTATTAACTATTTAGCTATTTAAGTATTAACTATTTACATGAGATGATAGCATCATATATGACTGTAGGCCATTTATATTTTATTCTACATTACTGTGGAGAGAAGTGATAGTATCATTTTACTATTTAAGTTTCAACCTCAAGCATGACTGTACAAGACAAACTTCACGACAGTCTCTGCAGTAGTCCCTGCCTGGTGGCTTTCCAGCCCAGAAGGACAGATATAAGAAAAGAGAGCCAAACAAGAAAGGATTGTTCTAGATTCTTAATTTGGCAATTTTTGTATCGTTTCCTTTTATGGCTCCCACAAAATAAGTAGGCCTGTTGAAGGTATTTGGACAAGGAAAGTAGGGAAGTCCAGCAAAGTAGGATTGGGAATTTGTTCTATTTATGAAACTTGGAATGTGAGAGAGATCTGTAAAGGGCAGCCAGGCTGGTAATGTCAGTATATTGGTAGAATGCATAGAATAATTAGAAACAGATTAGAGACAAAGATCTTCAGTTATATGAATTATTACATGGCAAATGGGAAATGAGAAGAAATTTAAGTGGTCGTATCCAGTATAGAGATCATTTTGCTTGGTTTTGTCAGATATAAGTGGAAGGAAGCCTTATAGCTGTCAACTTGTAGGGTGGGGGTTGAAGAGAAGGTAGCTACAGTGGTTTGTATTGTAGAGAGGTACTTTGCCACATTAGTCTGACATCATAAAGAAGGCAGGGTAGATTTGCACCTTATAGACTAACCAAATCAGAGCTGCATAAGCTTTTGCAAGCAGTGGCTTACTTTATCAGGTGCTATGAACAGTCTGTAGGAATTAAAACTTTATACAGAAAGCCGTGATTAGAAAGGGTGCAAAGGGTAGAATGCAAACATCGTGTAGCCCTCAAGGCTGAAATGAAAAGTTTGATTTCTTTAAAAGAGAATAGTTGGCCTTAGACTCGGTAAATGGGATAAAGTAAGAGATGAAAATGAGATTATGATGCAGGACTGAGAAAAGTATGATGGCATCAATACACAGAAGTGGTTTGGGAAGAAAAATCAGGACCATAGTTTTGGTTATGCCAAGCTTGAGTTTAGAAATAAGCATGTGGGATTGGGCAGAGGGATAAACAATAGGTGGAAGAAAGTAGAGATGTGGTTCTTTTAGCCTAGTGATCTTAAGGAAACCAGAAAAAAGTAGGAGTAGTGATTCTTTTAAACAGATTGATAAAAAAACTCTCTTGTTTGAAAATTGCTACTCAGAGGTTTTTTTAATGCTGTAATACAGTTCCTCTTATTTCTTCTGGATTGGTCTTCATCCAACAAATCTTTAGTTTAGGACAACATATAAAGAAAACATATTAAACAGTTTAATAATAGGAAACTATCTTTAATAAACAAAAACTACCTTTTCCTAGGGCCGTGAATCTGGCACCATTCAGAGATATAGTCTTCCAAATGTTGGACTAATTCAAAAGTATACCCTGAACTGTCGGGCATATCAGCTTTCTTTGAACTGCAACTCTAGGTAAGTTCCGGATCAGCAATCTGACTTTGAGACAATATTCTAATTAATTATAAGGGGTTGCTTGTGATTTATGGGGATATATCTGGGTGAGCGCTCTCTCTTGTGAAATTATCCATCCATCAGATTTCCTGTTTGATTTAAACCTTTACCCCCACCGGCTAGATGGGCAGTGCCCTGTCTGTTCACAGGCCAGATCTGGCCGGTGGTCCCAATATGGCACCTGGGGCAGGTGTAGTGGGCACCATTAAGCCACATGCAGGGTCTCAGCCTGGCCTGCAGGGGAAGGGGGTATGGCTTGGCTCTGCAGGGGGAAAAGGAGCGTGGTCTGGCCCCAGCCCAGCTCCGTGGGAAGGGGGCATGGCCCAGTCCCAACCCAGCCCTGCTTTGAGGGCGGAAGGGGTGTGGCTCAGTCCCAATCCAGATGGAGGGGGTGTGGCCTAGCCCCAAGGGGGAGAAGGGGCACAGTCCAGCTCCAATCAGCCGTGCAGGGCTTGGGGTTTGGGATTTTGGCAGTGAGGAGGGTGGCTGTATTAATGGCCACTGCTCCCCCTCTGCCAGATTACCACCCCAGGGGGAACTTTGTGGACTGGATTCCAAGGCTGCGTGGGCTGCATTTGGCCTGTGGGACAGTGTTTGAGCATCCCTGGTTTAAACATTTGGTGCCTGAGGCTGCAGACAGACATTATATTTGTAGTGCTGTATATGTTCTTGTGGCACTACAGAAAGTGGATCTTCAGATATGCATGAAACCTGTAATGCTACAAAAATGGTGCAGGCACCACATATAACATCCAAACAGGCATATGCACCACTACAGCAGGGTTCTTCCTCCCCCAGTATCCCACAGTGCTCTGTTCTTTCCTGTCTCCTGCTCCCAAGGAGGTAGGCAGAACTCAGTGACAGCCCAGTGGGGAGCAGAGCTGCAGCCTAGCTGCTTGGTGGGGAAAAAGGGCAGGCTGTCAGTGACTGGGCTCACTAACTGGCTTCCCTCCCAGCTACATCCCTTGTAACATAATATTCCATACTTTCTTTCATACATGCACCTTGTTTTTGAAAAGCAGAATGAAGAAGAAACATATTTCTTTGTAGTAAGGAACTGAATGGCAGCAGCTAGGGAGGCAAGTCTGCTAATTGTTCTGCTCTCTCTGGATCTTTTGCAGCCTTAGTTTCAGTTTTGCCTGGTAAGCAACAGAAACTGCTCTTACCCTCCAATTTACAGCAGCTGTTTTTTGTTTTTTTAAAGAAAAAAAAAGGTGCTTGTATATATGAGAAAATACAGTGTTTTTTAGCATTTCAAAGTGCTGCTGTAGTCAGCCTTACATATAACCTTCCAGTGCTCCAAACACCTTCTGCAGGCAAACCTGCTCAAACTGGTTTGCCTAGGCCTTCCTTACTCCATTGTCTAAAGTTTGTTTCTGCTACAGTAGATTTATCAACAGACTGTTGTTTGGGAGGGTTGTAATGTAGGTCTGGCCGGAATAGGTGATTACATACTGATAGAGAGACAGTCATGATACAGTGGTTTCCATAGCAATAACTACTACACTTTATCATGCATTAGCAGGCGCATGACAAACAGGTCCAAGGAAGTGAAACCTCCCCTCTGTGTGGCATTGGTCAGGCTGCAGTTGGAATACTGCGTCCAGTTTTGGGTACCACACTTCAAGAGGGATGTGGACAACCTCAAGAGGGTCCAGAGGAGGGCCACTCGTATGGTCAGGGGCCTGCAGGCAAAACCCTGTGAGGAGAGATTGAGGGCCCTGGATCTCTTCAGCCTCTGCAAGAGATGGCTGAGAGGTGATCTTGTGGCTGCCTAAAAATTCATCAGGAGAGACAGCAAGGAATAGGAGATACTCTGTTTACCAGGGCACCCCCTTGGAGTAACTAGGAACAGTGGCCACAAACTGACAGAGAGCAGATTTAGTTTAGACATCAGGAAGAATTTATTTTCAGTAAGGGTTGCCAGAATCTGAAATGGCTTCCAAATGAGGTAGTGCTCTCCCCTACCTTGGGGGTCTTTAAGAGGAGGCTAGACATGCATCTGGCTGGGGTCATCTGACCCCATCGCTCTTTCCCACCCAGGACGGGGTCGGACTCGATGTGCTACGGTCCTTTCCAACCCAAACACCAATGAGTCTATAATTTCATAATATCTAGAAGGCATCCTTATTCAGGGAGTAACACACTGCCTGGGATTTAGGACTTAGTACCTGTGCCTTGTCATTGTCTCCCTTGAGACTGCACTAGTCACCTTAATTTCTCTGCATATTCATTTCCCCATCAGCAAAATAGGGATAATAATTTTTCCCTCCTCAAGCATATTAAAGTGCTGTATGTTATTAGTATTTTTTTTGAGTCTCTTCGCATGGATGCATACACATGGTTCCCAGCATTGTTTTTAGGAAGTAATTGCTTGATTTCACTGTACCCGATTAACACAATAGGTGCATTGACTTTCTAATTGTATTTTTAATATTATAGAACAAGATACAATCTGAAGTTCTGCATTTCAAACCTGTTTGTTTAACCTCTTAGCAGGAAACTTCATGTTATGTAGAACTCCTTGACTCTCTCAGAGAGAATTCTCTATTTTTATTAAGCTAACATACTACGGCAGAATCCTGTTGATCTCCACACCTGTTTAGAATAAAGCTCAGGAAAATGTGGTTATTATGATTTATCAAAAATAGCTTTCTATGATTTTCAGTTATGCAGACATATGTAGGGTTTTTTTACAATGGAATATTTAATTACTGTAACTAATGTTTATTATTAGATGTGCCAATAACATAATACAAAAATTATAGAAGCATTTTTATAAATACTGGAAATGAATTTAATTGAAGACTGATGCTAGTTTTAGGGCATAATATGAGGTCCATCCTTTTGGTGTAGGAGTCGAGGAGGATGTCTGCTTAGATTAAGATTCTGCAGTTTGCTCAGTTCTTCGTCTGAATCCCCCAAGATGCACTGAATGGGAATTGAACACATTTGAACCTTCAAGGGTCAAGCCTACTTGGGTTGATAAATGACTGCTCTTCCAAACTGTTTTCTTTCACAATCTGTGGTCTTGTTCTTTTTTTTTTTTCATATCAGTTTATATAATGGATAGCTCCACTGAAGTCAGTTGCTGGTGTTAAACTACAATGAAATCTCAATCAGGCATTTAGTTTATTTGATCTGTTGGTGAATAATTGAAAACCTACAGCTTTAAATAATAATAATCAGCTGTTCTTTTTCTCCTCCCAACCATGTTCCTTTAGTCGTCTTGCTATTATAGATCTTTCTGGTGTTTTGACTTTCTTCGACTTGGACACACGGGTAACAGACAGTTCAGGACAGCAAATTATAGGTGAACAACTGAAGCTGGAGCGCAAAGATGTCTGGGATATGAAATGGGCCAAAGATAATCCAGACTTGTTTGCAATGATGGAAAAAACAAGAATGTATGTATTCAGAAATTTGGATCCTGAGGTAGGTAAAAAAAAGAACATATAGTTACTTCATAATGTATCATAGTGTTTCATTCAATTGTTTTGGGATTCTGATCAAAGGGCTTACTCAGTTTGTTAAAATGAAGTTAGGCAGGTTGTTACCTACCTACCTGAATCTCAGGTCTGTATCTAGAAGACTCCAAAAATGTGCTTGCTTGTAAGTGTTGCTTATAGACAAATGAATGATAAATGTCCAGATATGCTAGAAAGATAAGTAAATATGGAAACTCTTTTTTATGTTTCTTATATAAGATTCCAAAAATGATGACGATAGTATTTATATTTTCTAAGAGGAATTTCTATTATTTTTAATTGAAGAATAATGATAAGACATATAAGCTCCACCTCTTAGTTCTCATTCATTGACATTTTTCTTATAAGCAAGATATTGAAAATATGTTTTTGCTATTTAACAGATTTTAAATGTGCACTTAGATGCTGACATTGCCTAGTGTTATTGGTCTGAGTGTTAGGCATGTCATTAAAATTTAAATGGGGGGAAGAGGAAACTGATTTATAATATATTTAAATATAATTGGATTTATGCAGAGTTGCTCATTATGTTTTAACCTTATTAACTTTAAGGAACCCATTCAAACATCTGGATATATTTGTAACTTTGAAGACTTAGAAATTAAATCTGTACTTTTGGATGAAATACTGAAGGTAAGGATAGCTTTTGTTTTTGGAAAATGTATGCATGTTCGGGCCCTGGCAGATGTTACAATTATGACATGGTTAACATGGTAATTGTGCCATAAATTGTAAAATACTACTTGTATTGGAAAATACTACATGTACTACCAGCTACAAAGATGTTCCATATAACGTGGAACACTTTTATAGCTGGTTTGAATCGCACCTTGAAATGGCACATGTGGCATGTGCCTGTCAGAGCAGAGTTTTCTCAAGTGACTCCAACTCTCAGCTGAGCATCTGGATCAGCACAAGGCAGTCCCAGGTCTTTAAAAACCCAGGGTATGGAAACCTGGGTTGGAAAGAGGCTCTCCAATATCAGTTCCCTGCCCCCTAGGCTTTTAAATCACTGTGCCTGAAGCCCAGCTAGACAACATTTCAAAGCCTGAGGTGCAGGGACCTGGGATCAGAGAGCGCCCTTCTGGAGATGCTCTTCCATCCCAGGTCCCGGTGCCTGGGGATTTTACATACCCATATGTGAGGGTTTAAAGGTACAGAGCAGGGGAAACCCATGGGGCTCCTTCAGGGCTGTCCTGCATAGGTTTAAATCTGCTGGTAGGTGTGGAGCCTTGGATCATGATCCCAGGCTCCATGCACACAGCAGAAAGCTGACTCAGGGATCTGTCCTCACTGTGACCTCCATGCACTGGCAGTCATAGTTTCATAGTAGCTAGGGCCAGGAGGGACTTGAACAGATCATCTAGCCTGACCCCCTGCCACAGGCAGGAATGAATGCTGGGTTCACAAGACCCCAAATGGGTGATCATCCAACCTCCTCTTGAATTTGCCCAAGGTAGGGGCGAGGACCACTTCCCTGGGAAGTTGGTTTCAGATTTTGGCCATCCTAACTGTAAAATATTGCCTTCTGATCTCCAGCCTAAACCTATTCTCCATCAGCTTATTACCACTGTTCCTCGTCACCCCAGGTGGCGCTGGGGAGAAAAGGGCTCTACCTATTTGCTGTTGATCTCCCCTGACGAGTTTGTAGGCAGCCACCAGGTCCCCCCTCAGCCTCCTCTTGCTGAGGCTGAACAGGTTCAGGTCCCTCAGTCTCTCCTCTTAGGGCCTGTCCTGCTGCCCTCTGACCAAGCAGGTGGCCCTCCTCTGAACCCTCTCCAGGCTGGCCACATCCCGTTTGAAGTGTGGCGCCCACTACTGAGCACAGTACTCCCAACTGCGACCTGACCAAAGTCTCATAGATGGGGAGGATCACCTCTCTGGACCAGCTTGAGATGCATCTTTGGATGCATGAAAAGTATGGCTGGCCTTGCTGGCTGTGGTCTGGCATTGGCAGCTCATGTTCATCTTGGAGTCAATAATGACTCCAAGATCCCGTGCCGCCTCTGTGCTTTCAAGAGGGGAGCTCCCCAGCCTGTGTGTGCGCTGTGGATTCCTTCTCCCAAGGTGTATTTGTCTACGTTGAACCCCATCCTGTTCTCATCTGCCCACTTTTGTAGTCTGTCTAAATCTAGTTGCAGTCTCTCTCTCCCTTCAAGTGTGACCACCTCGCCCCACATCTTAGTGTCATCAGCAAATTTGGACAGTGTGCTTTCCACCCCCTCGTCCAAGTCGTTGATGAAGATGTTAAACAGTGCGGGCCCGAGGACCGAGCCCTGGGGTACCCCACTGCTTACATCTCACCAGGTTGAGTACAACTCGTCCACCACTACTCTCTGGGTGCACCCCATCAGCCAATTTTTTACCCATCCAACTGTGTAGGCATCAATGCCGCAGTCACTTAATTTATTGATGAGGACGGGGTGAGAGACGGTGTCAAAGGCCTTCTTAAAGTCTAGAAGGACTACGTCCACGGCGACACCATCATCCAAGGATTTAATTACTTAGTCATAAAAGGCAATCAGGTTGGTCTGGCAGGACCTGCCTTTGATGAACCCATGCTGATTGCCCCGAGTGTGATCTCCCCTGCTGGCCCCCCACAGATGTGCTCCTTGATGATTCTCTCCAAGATCTTCCCGAGCACCGAGGTGAGGCTTACAGGCTTATAGTTACTTGGGTCCTCCTTCCTCCTCTTCTTGAAAATTGGGACCACATTAGCCAGTTTCCAGTCCCCTGGCACCTGGCCAGATGACCACGAATACTCATACAGCCAGGCCAAGGGCTCCACGATGACCCCTGCCAGCTTCCTCAACACCCTTGGGTAGAGGGCATCTGGACCTGCAGATTTTAAAACGTTTAGCCCTTCCAGAAGATCCCTAACTACATCTGCGCTGATTGAAGGCCTGACAGAGCTATCCCTGAGATTGTCCCTACCTCTGGTAGGAGGGATGTCCCAGTCCCTGTTCAAGAAAACAGAGGCAAAGACTGTTAAAAATATCAGCTTTCTTGTCTGGTGTAGCCACAAGATTACCATCTGACTGGGATCTCATCTCTTATCCCAACAGTTGCACATCTTGCCATGCATGTGTGGTATGGTAGGACACACGATTGTTGGGATCAGGGATCAGATTCTTTCATCAGTCCCATGGGGCGCCCATGCCTGCTACGGGACAGGGAAATCTGGGTGAGGGTGATCCCCTGCCCTCCATCGATGCTGACTTGGTGAAGGAACATCTTGAGAAGCTGGATACCTTCAAGTCAGCCGGCCCTGACAATCTTCACCCCAGGGTACTCAAGGAGCTGGCAAGCGTCATAGCCCAGCCTCTAGCACGGATCTTTGAAAACTCTTGGCACTCTGGTGTAGTGCCCGAAGACTGGAAGAAGGCCCATGTGGTGCCTATCTTCAAGAAAGGGAGGAA